AAATATAGAGCTTTAATAAGTTGTACTTATGCACAATTTACTTGTAATCTTAAATTTTAAGTAATATGAATCAATAAATAGTACTTCGTGTATAAAAAAATGGTTTTTAAGAGTTTTTGTCAAATGCTTTATAATATAGTATATATACTTATGCGTAATTTACTTGTAATATGCATCAATATACAGTACTTCATGCATAAAAAGTGGTTTTTAAGACTTTTTGTCAAATGCTTTATAATATAATATAGATTTTATCAGTTCAGAAACTTCTTTTTTTACACTTTGACCCTTCCGCAAATCTCGATTGTTAATTCCTAAAGAAAAACGGTTAAGAAGTGAAGCCATGTCGTCAAAATAACTATTCTAATTAATTTCCCAAAAGTAAACATATTTCAGTTCAATTATTATCATATGCTTCTTTCATGCTAAAGAAAATGTGCACAATAAAAATGGTACATAGTTTTTGAAATGTATAATTATCACACTTTTTAATCAACCAAAAAACAATTTTATTCTTAAATAATTGAGAAAAAAAATTTATTATAATCAAGAGCGGAACGAAAAATTGATATTTACTTTTGAAAGTAAACACTTATTTTAAGACAAATTAAAACAGAAGTGTAGATACCTATTAGTTAGGCATTTTGTGATACCTAATATGCAAGAGTATCTCTAACATATTTTTTAATACCGAGAAAATAGAGAATTTTGGGAACTTTTTTTACTTTACAGATTCTTCAAAACCTTTTTCAAAATAACAAAAGTACGAAAGAGAAGGTAAAAATCTTCGGACATTGATAACTCCATAAAAAATATTTGAAATTAAATATCTAGAGGAGAGAATTAATATTTTATTAAATTTATTGAATATTTTAATAACATAATTGATGTTATAATATTTAAAATAGAGAATCTGTTGGAGTTAATGTAATGTCTTTTGGAGATTTTGATTATTGGCTCTCGATTTTGGAAAAAACTTGGAGAATCTGTCGGAGATGTTCTAAATTGATAAAGATGTACAAACGACCAGTTAACTGATTTTCGATAGTTAAGAACCGAGGACCAGTTTGAAAAAAGACCGATTGAAAAATATAATTGAGAAAAACAAGCTCTCCTTGAAAAGAAAAGCCTTCAGTTAAAAGCCAACGAAAGGCTTAAACTAATGGACCATAAATCTTTGGGGTTCCTCCCATGGGGGATTTTCCTAGCTGTTCTCTAGAGCCTCATGTGATGAGTCAAAATGCAGGAAAGTTTTACCAAAAGAAAAAGATTAATTAATGGACCATTATTTTTTTTGAATTACATGGTCGTTCAGTTGTTCTATTAGGTCGAATTGTATAAGCTCGACTCAGTAAAGGCCATGAAGCTCATGAGCCCAAGCCAAGTTGAACTCGACCCTCAAATAGTCAAACCGATAAACCCAGATTAATCATTCAACAACATATTATAAGAAATCAACGATGGCAGAATCAAGTTTGTAGAAAGGGAATCGTGAAAGCTTCAATGGTTGATATTAGCATCAAAGATTACAAGATGTGAATATCTCATCAAAGGTTACAAGGAAACTAAAACAAACTATCTATTTATACCCTTTTAGAAATTCTTCGATTTCTTCCGGAAGCAGATGATTAATCATCTGCTTCTCACGTTCCGTGAATAGCCGGGACATTGAGGAATATCCAGAAAGACATTTTGGGAACCGGTTTGATTCTATCGCTGTTCCTTCCGTTTGAAGAAAGTACAAGGAAAGCTTGAATACAAACATAAAACTTGAACTTAATACAAACAAACAGACCGTGGTTCATCGTCTTGACAAACATAAATCAGAACATCTTCAATAACAAGATCCAAATTAAACGAGATAAATGTTCATTAATTTGTTATATACAACATAATCATATCATGCCAAAAAGCGATGTGATTCGATACAACAGGACATAGATCACCTTGTTCTTTACAAAGTCGGCTATCGCCTTTGGAAAACAAACAACGAGCCTCGAGACCCCTTCCCTAATCTCAACTTATCATCAATATACGTAATCTCGAGTTGCACCTCACTCTGACCACCAAACCCAAACTCTAGCGATCCGATCTTAAGTTCGGGTCGCTCAAACACCACCTTAATCCATTTCTCATCTAGAACTATCAGTTTTCCTACATATAGCAAAAACAAGAAAACTAGTAAGCGAATATATTGAATTATCAAAACATGAAATTGGAACACAACTATGTCACTACAGTCAAAATCTAACGATGATTAGATAAAGACTAACGTGCTTCGGTTTTAACGTTTTTATTTTGTGGGTCCCGTTTACAAAGGTGCGAGAAGCAATGAAGATGCAAATAAGTGATCATCGATTCGTGGGTCCCATTTACAAAGGTACAAGAAGAAACAAAGACTTGAATAAGTAATAGTAGATTTGCAGGTCCAGTTACTTGATGTGAGTAGAGGTTAAGATCCTACTCTTGTCATAAGTGGCATTGGTAAGCTAGCTAACACTACAACAAAATCGGGTTTATAGGACGTCAACATTGTCTAAGGGGCTGTTTACCAAACGTAAGCGCTTATCAAGTCACGTTACCTCACCGGATGAATATGGTAAGGACCAAGAATCTTATCCGGTAAGAACGAGACAAGGACCAAGAGTCTTACCCAGTAAGTGAGGGCGACGACTTTTACCACGGCAAGCATTTACCGGGTAAATTGTTGCATGCGATGTTGTTTTGTTGGACTAAAATCTGAGTAATAATAGTGTTAAATTTTATTGGTAAGCACTTACCGGATAAGTATTTGATAAACGGCCCCTAAGTATCCCAATAGACCGGTTTATGGGACTAAAGTTTATAGAACAAAACAATAAAGTGTCCAATCTGAATTTGTTGTAATAAGTTTATAAGACGCTTTTAGGCGCCTTAACAAGATTTTTGGAAAATTTTTAAGATAAACTATTGTATTGGATATTTGAGATCCTATAGGAACATCTTTTTAAAGGACATCTGTCTTTACAAGATACTTTCAAATAATGTCTTATAAAATAGCTAATATAATATTTTATTTTAAAAATGTCCTAAAAACATGTCAAGACGTCCAAATGCATCCGAAAAACTTATTTAAACTCTTTTAGATCATCGTGTTATTGTTTGGTCCTATAAACTTAAGCTCTATAAAACGGTTTATTAGGACTCTTGAATATTGTTGGCGTCATATAAACCTGATTTTCTTGTAGTATGCTATAGCTGTTAGCTAGATGACAATGTAAAATAACCTAATAAGCTAGGGTTTTTGGTCATATATGTAAAATATAAAGCGCATAACTGGAAAAAAGTGAAAAGCCTGACGCTACTTGAATTAGCTTCACAAAAAGCAAGCGGCTTACCGAACGGGATTATTTCAATAAACTCAAAAAGTAAGCTAGCTTGTATTTGCCAAACATGGCCATAGTATTTAACGTTTGGAAAAGGGGACGGAACCTGGGAAAACTTTATTCAAGCAAACTAACCATTGTGTTAGCTAAAAATGCTGAAAACACTAAGACATGCCAAAGTGACTTCAAGCAATTTCCAATAGTTAGTTTGCAACGAACTACTAATACGATTGTTGGAATCGCTGACTCGGACATATTATGGTCTTCTTTTTCCGTGTTTTAAAGGTAACTTCTTATTTTAAAGACGTGAAACGTACCTTTCAATGAGACTTCTCCATCAAGGAAACCAAGAGCAGAGAAGGATACTTTGTTTCGCACAATATCAGGAGCCTCAACAGCCTGAACCATTTCAGTTGTTTTGAAAACAAGGCGTCCTAATCCGCTCCTGAAACCCCCACCAGGAGATGTAGGATTTGAACAATACACCACGTCCCAATCTGATAAAAAAAGTTCATGAATCAATGAAAATGTTCACAAGAATCATAAACCGCTAAGTATTGACATTTTGATGTTAACTCGGAGGACAAAGAATGAATCCAACTGTATTTACGTACTGTAATGCTTGGAATGTTAAGTAGGAACCAAACACGAATGCATACTTCTTTTGTCGCAAAAGGTTGGAGATCGATGTCCATAATTGCAACATCTTTTTCGAAAGTTTTGAAGGGAAAATTGACTAGTTTACCCTTTTAGCAAAGGCAAAATGCATCAACATATAACGAAGTTTGCCTTTGTTACTCTTAAGTGTAATAATGAACCTTTTCTTTCTCAATTAATGATTACGCCCCTGGTGGACCAAAGGCTCCTTGGCTTTGAGGGTTGGGGAGGAAGTATTTGTACATGGCCTTTCCCTTGCAATTTGCAAAGTGATTTTTTTTGTGAACTGAACCCATAACCTTCTAGTTAGAAAGGAGCAACCTTAACAGTTGCTCCATGGCTGACCCCTTTAGAAATGAGGATGGTTCAGATTTCCTCAATTAGCTTGTGGTGTGCAAATTGTATTTGTTAAAAAGACATCTGTATGAACCCTTGTAAGAATCTAACAATACTACATCCTTCGATAAATCAATGAAAAAGTTCTTAAAAAGTTAGCAAAGAAAGAACACAAAACAAACAAGGATAAGAAAGAGTTATCATAGTAATAGTGTACCTCCGAAAATCAGGGGGCATTTCACAGGTGAATCTACACAATATTTATTCAATTCGCTAACCAAATCAGCTACTTGCATGTGTTGTTCCCTTGTCAGTGTAACTCCTCGATCTGTTTGCATAACCTAATTTAGGTATACATACAACTAAGTTCACCATGTTATTGAGATATACTAATAAACCACATTAAAGTAGCTCAAATTACAGAAGCATGATTAAATATTGGTCACCATAGAAGGCTCAGAGTATTTGCAAATGCATGAAAATTAGACAACCAACTTAACTGGCAGATAAAAGCCAGGGCTTGGGGCTCCTCTCTGTAGGTTGCCAATTCAGGGTTCTACACCGATCTTTATATAGCATCCTCAAATCAGTTGACATTCTTTCACACCATGCAGGATGTTTACTCATCTTCTCCAGACTAGTAGCTCCTATGTTACCATGTCTTGTTTACATCCTATTTTATCCACCTTTTATACTTGTTTATTTATTCTTGAAAGTCGAAAGATAACATGTATTCCATCCAATCCAAACAAGCCCTAAAGATATCACCAACCCCTTTCCACTAGTTTTAAACCTATTGATGACACTCACATGCATAAACTGTCAAAAATGATCCATAGATAGTAGACTCAAGTGTGCCGGAACCTTCGGAATTGGCATGGAGATGGGCATACTACCATTTTCAAGACTTTGAGGAGTCAAGTTCTTTGAGTATTTAACAATATCATTTACTACACAAGTTTTTTGTGTTCTTGAAATAAGAACACTCCGGAAAAGTGGGTACTATCATATAAAGGTTACTTGCTTAGGCCATTGCCTTCAGATCATTGATAATTTGATATAATAAGAATGGAATAGATAAGAATGTTGTGTGAATGAATCCAAATGCGACAAGATATTTAAATAGAAAGACAGAGATTCGGTGTTCAACTCTATCTAGACACTTTTTTTGAATTCTTATATCAATCTGTTTTCCGCGACTCCCAAACCAAGAAAAAGAACTTGTTCGACAGCGTAATACTTGCTTCTTTTGACATTCTTTTGATTTGACCAGTAAACACATTTTATGATGTAATCTTTCCAATCTGTTGACTTTGAAGTCTCTGTAAAAAACTTCAAAAAACCACTCATTTATCAAAATTAGACATTATATACACTTCCTAAATCCTTGGATTATGAACCCTTGCATTGGAAGAATCCACTAGGAGGGGGGGGGGTCCATAACATAGTCTTTTCCAATGCAATAAATTTAGTGTAGTGTCTTTTTAGATTAGTTGGAAATATAGAAGACTCCACTAAATCTGGATCGTTCAAAACCCTTTTAAAACTGTCATTTAGAAAAGTTTTCGTACATACGCCTCTAAAAATGGATAAAAGTCAATGATTTCCAAATTCACACATTGCTGAAATTGTGCAGGCAACACGATTTTGCCTCAGATTGTAAACTTACATCCTTTCATCAGTTTAATGAAAAAGGTGATTCGCATCTACAAAAACCTTTCAGTTATTCTGTTTTTTATTCGAATCATTTCATGCATAGTACCTCAACATATTTTAGGATTAGGAGAAGCATTTGTAATTGTTACAGATTCATACTTAAGAAATATATTTGGGATTGTGCTTCGTCACTATTACAATAATATGTGATACTATGAATTGGATTTGTGATTTGTCCTGTACACTTGTACATTCTATTTGGAAGCTTGTTAAATATTAGCATATCAAAAGAGATTTACTATTTTCTACATTTGCAACTATAAGAATGTTTCTATCTAGAATTTCACTAGGTTGACTAAGATTTGGAGTCCCGTAACTGGCATATGATTTGATTTAAGTGATTTTGAAGGCTTGTCACCATCATATGAATATGGTGAGTGTCTGAGTGATCATGTTTGATAAAAGAATTAGCACATATTTTGGAACAATATAATGATTCAGAGTTCCAAGAGTATATTCTTGTGTTTCAGAAAAAGAATATATTTTCGAACTCTTGATCATTACAGAAATATGAAACTCCAGCTTTAAGATTTTGAGTAGCTAATCTCCACTAAATCTAATATATTAAAAAACAAGAACAAAAACCTGGAAACATGTTAAAGGAAAGATAAAAACGATGATACAATTGAATGAAGAAGAAAATGAAATAAAACCTTCGACAAAATGGAGGCCGCAAGTTCATCCGGAGGGAGTTGCGATGACGACGACGATACCTTCTGCACCGGAGATGACACCGAAGCACTGATGGATCTGTAATTGCGATCTAGACGGTGAAAAATTCCAAGGCATTGCCGTCTAGGGTTTAGTGGTACTAAATTTTGACGACTTGAAAGTCGAATAACAGATAGCTCAGTGTTAACAGATGAAAAGGAAACTACCGAGAAAGAAGAAGAAGCCATTGCTGATTGAGTAACAGATTGTGGAGACCAACAACAATGGCGAATTGGCGATGAATGTACAGGTTGGTTGAAGATGTGGTGGTGGTGGAACCACGACCATCGTTGCTTATCAGATATGCGGCCAATGAGAGGCTGAGATTAGGGGTTAACAAAAAACCGTAAACCCGCGAAACCCGCCCAACCCAACCTGCTAACAACCCAATTAAACTCAACCCGTCTACCCGTCAAACCGTCCACCTGCCAAACCGCTAACCCGCCAATTAGGAGGGTTGAAATTGGGTTAAGGTTAGCTCAACCCGCCGCTAACATATAATTTTTATAAAATTATATATGTATATATATATGGTTATTATGTGTATATATATATATATATATATATTAATAATGTATAAATTTTATATAATTTTTATTGATATTATATTTTGTTTCATTTTAACTAAACGTATAGGTTACCAGAAGAGATTCACGATCAAAGAATGATGACAAATAATCTAATTAATAAGGAAAATAATTGATTTTTTTTTTGCAGCAACAACAAATTGATATGTTGGAAAATATTAATGATATTGATAGATATTTGATAGACGAATCCATCAATTTATGACGCTTTTAAAGAGTTACATTAGAAAAATGTCTTATCTAAAAGAGTTCCAATATGTTTATATGATGGTTTTGGACGTCTTAACAAATTCTATGATGCTTTTAAAATAAAGTGTCATATTAGTTATTTTATGCAACACGACTTGAAAAAATGTCATATGAGCATAGATGTCCTATAAATAGATGAGTTTACGGGACACTTCTCAAAATGTTTCTATAAAATGACTAATACGACATTATATTTAAAGATCATTCTAAAACACTTGTTGAAACGTCAAAAAATGTCCTATAAACCTATTGCAACATTTTTAGATAGGACGCTTTATAGTATGGTTTATAAACTTAAGATTTATGAATTATTTCATTCGTCAAATTATGTAACTTCTAACCCGCCAACCCAACCCAACMCGCCTCAACCCGCAAGGGTTGGGTTGGGTTGGGTTATACTTTTGAATGGGTTGGGTTTGTGTTGAGATTTTCCAAACCGCCATAATTGGGTTGGGTTGTAGAATTGTTGTAAACCGCCCAACCCAACCCGCGTTCACCCCTAGCTGAGATGGAGAATGAAATCTCAATCATGGATTTAGTCCCGTTTGGCAGTTGCTGAATGGTTTGGTGCAAAATGGCTAAGTGATCAGAATGATTAAGAGGGTCAGAATGGTTAAGTACAGAATGAAATAATGTTGTTTGGTAACTGTTTTCTGAATACAAGTAAAAATTACCATTTTAACCCTCTTTGTTTTTTTTAGTGATCATCCAGTTTCATTATGGTTTACCTAATGACTAAAAATTGAAGAAAGAAAACCTAATTGAAGAAAGAAAACCTAATCGAAGCTGTGCTACTGTTAAGGGACTAGCGACCATCGAAGCTGTGGAAGGTCGCCGGCGATGGAAGCTGTGGAGTCTCACAGGCTATCACCGATCGAGCGACAACCAAAGACGGGGACGAAGATGGTGGAGGCTATCGGAGACGGAAGCTGTGGAAGCTGTGGAGTCTCACAATCGAAGATACCATGGGACGATTCCCGTGTTCCAACAACGTTTCCGAGCAGATAGTGGTGGAATCGGTGAAGGCGACGGCTGGAAGGAGAGGAGATGGGAAGGCGACGTGAACTCAGTGAAGGCGACGGCTGGAAGGAGAGGAGATGGGAAGGCGACGTGAACTCAGTGAAGGCGACGGCTGGAAGGAGAGGAGATGGGAAGGCGACGTGTGAGGAAGGAGAGGGTGGGGGGAGGAGCTGTGAGCGACGTGTGAGGAAGGAGAGGGTAAAATTGGAAAAAGAACGATCTGAATGGTTGAGTGAGGTAGTAGATGCAAAATGGTTAAGAGGTTATTGTAACCATTAAGAGAGTTGTTTTTTTTTGCCAAACAGACCTAACCTCTTACCGATTAAGAGGTTGGCTCTTAATGTAACCATTAAGAGCCAAACAAATGCCGCCATGTCATAGCTTGATAAATAGATTTCATTTCGACCCCCAAAGTTACACAAAATATCAAAATGACCATAATTGAATACCAATATACTCGTACAATACAGCGAGATAAATCTCGATTTTAATATTTAATTTTTATTTTTTCTTTATATCAATATGATACAATTTTATGTGGTTTTGAGAAAACGGTAATGTTTTATTTTTGAATTAAAATATAAATTTAAAAATAACATAAAAATTTATAAATAAAAAAAATCGATAATAGTATCAAATTAACTATTTAATAGTTCTTGTTTTTCTTCTAACTTTTTTAATCTAATTTTTTATTATAATTTAATGTAAATTTAATAACAGAGTAATTTATTTTTTGTTTAATAATATACTTTTTTATAAAGTGTATAATTTAACATTCTACTATAACTGAATAACTATCTTAATTAGATTTTAAATTTTATATATTCAAAATGAATGTTTATCATGTATTTGATTATGTTTATCAATAATTAGTTATACGGATTTAAAAATAGAGCTTTAATAAGTTGTACTTACATACAATTACTTGTAATTTTATATTTTAAATAATATACATTAATAAACAGTACTTCATACATAAAAAATGATTTTAAAAGTTTTTGTCAAATGTTTTATAATATAATATAGATTACAGGAGTGATTGAATTTATCTGTTTCATGGTTTTTATGTAAAATATTATCAAACTGAAACATATGGAATTGAATTTGTGATGGATAATCAGTTCAGATTGAAAAACCAACAAAACAACTACATTTGTTTAGCTTTTAGATTTTCAAAATCTGGAATCAGAATGAAAACCAATTTTTTTTCAAATTAAAAAAAAAAAAACGAAATGGTGTTTTTTGTTTAGATACCTTGTATTAAAAATGTATGAGTTTGTATTCTGTTAATGCTTCAATCTGGGACTGAATCGGTTACAGACCATTAACAAACCAGTATTAACCTTGTTCAAGTAAAACCCAAATTCTGGTTCCATTATCTTTGATATTTTGGTTTCACGTCAGTCTGATTCAATCCTATCAAACAATTCCATTATGGTATGATTGAGTTCGATTCCAATGGTCAAATTTCAACTTATTTATGTCAGTCATATTCTATCATTAATAAATTGAAACTGGTAAAATTAAAGAATTTAACCAATAAATGTTTTTGGATCAAATGTGTAATAAGTCGTTCAAACTATACTAAACTGTTCACAGTATCTTAAATTTTTCTTAAATAAAACAGGATCATAATACTGATAAAAAATTATAATTATGTTTAATATCAGTTATTTGTAAAAAGGACAAATAGATAGTTCTATTAAAAATGGGGTGGAAACAATTTATCGTTACAGAAATAGGAGAACCAAAACAATAGTTGTTTATAAGTGAACTGAAAATTGTTGATTTCAGTTAAATTTAAGATAATTGGCAAAAAAAAAAAATTGTCTTTTAATGATTCTAAAACCCTCTGAATAATTTTGAATTTTTCATCACTTTAATTTCATTGTAAACGATTAACAAACAATTATATTTTATTTTATATTATATTATAAAAGAAAAAGATCATTATGATCAATTAATTCAATTTTTAACGAACCTAAAGTGTGTGTGGGTGGGCACATTGACCAGAGTTTCTGACCATTCTCGTGCTTACACGTGGCTAATCAGGACTCTTCCGTTGCTACTATTCTTATCCAACTACAACCACAGGCTCGCTCAGTCAACCCCCCAGAGCAAACCCCCAAATGATCATTCCGTCACTAAACTTACCATAGAATTTATTGATCAAATTCCTCAATTTTGCATTCAATTCCTTCTTCTAGGGCTCTTTTTTTCTTCAATTTTGAATCATCGGATCACGATTCATGGAAATGACTAGCACTAGTTATCATATCCATAAACCATTTCTGAATTCCAGTTGTTATACGGCTGTTGGTGTGTCTACAACTCACATAAGCCGTTTTCCTGTTGTTTTTAGTAATCGGAGCCCGGGAAAGAAGAAGGTTTTGAAGACTGTGAAGGCGGTAGCGGCGGCATCGACGGGTCGTGGCGGTGCTGCAGTGAACGGAGGTAGCCGGAGTAGAGAGGAATTGTCATTGCTGTCAAAGCCTTCTACTAGTAGCAGTGCTTTAGAACAGTTAGATATTGAGCGTGGAGTTTGTATCCCTTTTCGAAAGTACACCCCTGATACTGTGAGTATACATACACCTTTTCAGTCTGGATTTGTTAGACAAGTTATTATTAACGTACATCCTCTTGGATCAATGGTAATTCTTAATTCGTTTTGAATTATATGAGGATGACTTTTGTGTTTGTGGTGAAGGTTAGGAGTAAGGTGTTGGAGTCACAAGGTGCGATTTTGTCACTGGTTGGCAGAGGAATTGAGATTGTTTGGAAGTTGGGTTTCTACTGGACTAGGTTGGTGTATGATTACTTAGTTGGTCGTGATGAAGAAGTTGTTCCTTTTCGTGCTCGGCAGCTCAGGAATTTATTATGTGACCTGGGCCCTTCTTTCATTAAAGCTGGCCAGGTTTGCCACCTTTTGCTAGCTTCTAATTTCTTATTCAGTTGTTTGAACCGATAGTTTGTATTCTTTTTTTGCTTTACTATATATCTTCATCCGTTCACATTAAATTTTAGTGGGTTGCTACTATTTATTTTCATGAGCAAGACTACTTGAATCAGTCTTAACGATGCCCTAAAAGGACGAAATCAACCCAGGTTCGAATCCTGCCATCTATATATACGTTTGTGGCCACAGGGAGATCTACCTCAGGGTTGTGGGCAAAGCCTACAATCGCAATTTGCCATGGGATTAGTCTACGCGAAGCCAGGGATCACCCATTTCCAAAAAAAATGGAAAGGGGATTTGATCACTGATAGCATGGTTATGTCATATAAGCGATTCTAGGTACAACCAACATGAATAGAGTGAAAGAAATTGTTTTAAAGTGTCTTGCAATACAACTATTATGGTCTTGTTTCAGCCAAATGAATAAATTTATGTTTTCACTTTTGCTTTAAGGACAAATAATTATGCTAGACATCATATCAGCCACCAGTTCTTAACATACAATAACATTATCCTTTCTTACAAGGGACATAACAAAGATAAATTATGATTTTTTAAATGGAGACTCAGGTAATTGAATGATTGCCTACATAGCTTAGCTTCTTCCAGAGAAGTATCTTTCCTGGCAACGTGATGATAGATAAATCACATGTCAAATATTTGACATCAACTGTAGCTTATAGAAGCCACCGAGAATGCTTGAGCTCATCAAACAAACTTGCACACGAGTGTTCCTATTAAATCTCCTCTGGAAATTGACCACACTATGCTTTTCCGATGTAGTGATGAAACTTCGTGTATGCTATCTTTGTTCTTAGCGGGGCTAGTATTACAATAGAATCATACATAAAAATGTAATCCTAAACCTTGACAAAAAGTTTAGAGATGTAGGACCAACCCTAGAAAGTGAAGCCTCTAATAACATAGTGGGTTTCTTGGCCCACAAATATCATGATAACCATTTATATACCATCCAGGAAGAAGTTCAATCCACGGGTAAGAACTTCTTCAAAATTTACTTGGTCCATAATGGCCAATTACAATTGGATTGGGTCAAACTTAATATTAAATGGGCATATTTACCAGGCCACAGCCACACGAATCTGCTGCTATGCTTCTTGTAACTAGATTTTAGCTTGGCACCTTATGGTTTTTGTCAATTTGCCTCCGTAAGGTGTTGTTACTTCACAGTATGATTTTTCTTTTCTATTCTCAAGATGCATCTGTTTTTTGTTTCTTTTGACGCATTTACACTTTTGTAACTTTTTATGCAGGTTCTTGCAAACAGGCCTGATATTATTAGGGAAGATTATATGAATGAACTTTGCATTCTTCAAGATGACGTTCCTTCTTTTCCCAATCAGGTAATGAGCTAATAAATATGGTCTGTGCAACACAACCGTTTTCTCTTATCCCATATTGGTTTATTTTTCCTTTAAGGTGTGAGTGGTTAACAATGCTTTAGGTTGCTTTCAACATTATAGAAGAGGAGTTGGGTCAACCTCTAGAAGCTGTTTTCAGCAAAATTTCATCAGAGACCATAGCAGCTGCAAGTTTGGGTCAAGTTTACAGGGCTACTCTACGTGCATCAGGAGAGGATGTTGCTATAAAGGTTAAAAATGCTAATCTGGCATTTTGTGCGATTTAGTTGAATCTTTCCCATTTTTTTAGATCTTGAAACTCAACAATTTGTTCAACTGTTTTAAAAGATTACAGTATCAATTTGCAAGAAACCTTTATTAGGAGGGTGAATATACTTGAGTCCATCAAGGACACTGAAGTCTGCAATACTGTTTGTTCCAGGACCATAGGATACGTTCTTCTTTCTGAAATGGATAATAAATAATTTCTGTTACTTTTTGCAGGTCCAAAGGCCTGAAATAGAGCCTATAATATACCGGGATCTTTTCCTTTTCCGAACACTGGCTTCTTTCCTGAATGGAATCAGTCTACAGAAGCTGGGTTGCAATGCAGAGCTTATAGTTGATGAATTTGGTGAGAAGCTTCTGGAGGAGCTTGATTATACATTGGTAGTATTCAGATATAATCTTTTCTCTGAAAGAAAAATACTATTGTATGACTAAAGCACCGAGAGAGCTCATTTTACATGTTGGTATTAATTTCTTAATAACTGAAATTCTTTGGTTTTACAATAATCAGGAAGCTCGCAATATTGAAGATTTTCTTGAGAACTTCAAAGGCGATCCTACTGTTAAAATACCCAGGGCTTACAGGCAGCTCTCTGGTTCACGTGTTCTAGTTATGGAATGGATTGATGGAATACGGTGCACTGATCCACAGGTTTGGATGCTATAAACTTTGCTGGAATGGTTACCAGTAGATCATGTTTGATTCCGTTTCTTTCTCCCCTATTCATTTCAGGCCATCAAGGAGGCTGGTATTGATGTAAATGGATTTTTGACCGTTGGTGTTAGTGCTGCATTGCGGCAGTTGCTAGAATTTGGGTTGTTTCATGGAGATCCTCACCCTGGAAATATCTTTGCTATGCGTGATGGCCGTATTGCATATGTGGACTTCGGGAATGTTGCTCAGCTAAGCCAGGTAATTTCTGCATTTCATACCTCCTTTTAATGGAATGTTAACACAAAAAAGAACTTTGTTTTTAAACATACCAAGCTAGATAAGTGAAATGCTAAGACATATCTTTTTCTATTTTGTGAAATATGATCCATTTATCTTAACCTACTTCTAGTGCTTCCTTGGTTTTCTCTTGGTTTTAATGCAGATTTGTTTTTCTTTCTCCGTGTTCAGCAAAATAAACAGATTCTAATCGATGCCGTTGTCCATGCTGTAAATGAAGATTATGCTGAAATGGCAAATGATTTCACAAGACTTGGATTTCTTGCCAGTGGAACAGATGTCTCCCCCATTGTTCCAGCACTGGAAGCAATTTGGCAGAACTCTGGGACAAAAGGATTGGCTGATTTTAATTTTAGAAGTGTTACAGGTAAACTTTGTTGGATTGCGAAAGGGAGGGTGGTGATGCATGTCTTATATACAGCCAGATAGTCTGTTGCCAAGTTCTATTATGAAATAAAATTACCTACTGTGCCATGCATTTCAAGCCACTTGAGCTCTTGTTCTTAAACTATATTACTTGAATTATGAGATTTTAAAAGTTGGGGATATGAGGGCATGGTTATATACGTGTGTGTGTGTGCGCGCAATCTAGAACCAAACCAATAAAAAAGAAGTTAATCTTGTAATTCATACATGAAATATATATAAATAAATGCATCTTGTCTCAAGCCTTATAGTGCTTTTCCCCATTGTGCTTCTATTAATCCAAACTATCTTATAAATACTCATTGTTTTGCTTCACCTCCTTTTTCTTCTCTAACAGCCATAACCTCCAGTTTTACTCGACATTTTTTATCCTAGTTGCCAATTTTATTAATTGTGAACTTTCATTCTCCTGTATTTGAATAAAAGTTAACCAAAATTGAGCCTCCTGTATCCTATATTCTGTATTTCCATATATATATATATATATGTGGTCAACATTCAGAAATTATGTCTGAACCTTTTTATTATCATTTTAATTGATTTCTATCCCTTGTCATATTCTGTTTATATCTTGTGATAAAGAATAATTGAGAACTTAATTCTGATGCAGGAAAATTCAATCAACTTGTTTACCAATATCCAATTCGGATCCCTGAAAGGTTTTCTCTCGTAATTCGTTCTTTATTGACTCAAGAAGGCATCTGTTTCACGCTGAAACCAGATTTTAAATTTCTTGAGGTAAAGATGCTCCTAGTATGTGCCTCTCCATCATGCATTGTGCATTGCTCTAAGGCTTTTTTTTTTCTTTTCATATTGATAGTACTATTCATCCCAAAGTACATGTTACAATGGGTTTCTCACTTAGATTAAATCGTCATCTGGACCAATTGTCAATTCACAATCTGCTCATGTTAGAATACAAATTTCTTTTGCCTTTTAGTGGATATGATAATAATTACTTATCTGAGTGGGTGAAAACTACTGAGTTAGAATGGGTGGTCAACAACTGCCATCTTTAAGGAATAGTAATTTTCTTGCTTTTAGTAATATTTCTGATCTGTAAAAAGGTACTTTATGACACTTGAGGATTAAGAGTATATACTTATTTTGGAAAAGAGTACTAGGTATCCCAAATTATAAACTGAGTAAATATTATTTCATGTAGTACATCATTTTCTGTAAAAATGTTTCTTTTGGTTTATGTATTAATACAAAATCATTTTACTAGGTTGCATACCCATATATTGCAAAGCGCCTTTTGACGGACCCAAACCCTGCTCTTCGAGAACGTCTTGTGCAGGTGAGTTAACTTATATCGTGGAAACTTGCTATTTAAACACTTCTCTTCTATTTTTAAAATCTTGAAGATCATTTATTGTAGCGACCAACTAGTTGTGTTTTTTCATTGTAGTGGTCAACTAGTTTTGTAACTTATTTCTTATTCCAAGATAAAGATGATTCATACATGTATATATATTTAAGCTAGGATGATATGAATCTGTTTAGTTGATGTATTTCATATTTTTCGGTCTTTAGCTATTTTCTTTACGTGTTAGGTTCTGTTCAAAGACGGTCTTTTCCAATGGAAGCGACTTGAAAACTTAATTGTGCTGGCAAAGGAGAACGTGACAAAGATGAGCAGCAATCCTGCATTTCAAGGAAATAACATGTACGTAACTCTCTCTAAATATACACAAACACATGCAAATATACATCTTTTCATCGCTTTTATATCCTTTATGGGAAAACAAACAAATTACACATAAACAGTGTAAGCTAAGTGGATATGGCTTATGAAACTAATAGTTGCATTTTTTGGACATGTGATCAGGCAAAGTTCCAGTGCAGTGCAGGTTCAAAGGAAATTGGACTTAACAGACACCATCAAAGACGGAGCTAGACTTTTCCTGATTGATGAAGGAATTCGTAGGCAACTTCTTCTTGCATTAACGGAAGACTCTAAGCTTCACGTTGAAGAGGTATGCTCAATCTGATGATTATCTTGAATTCCTGTGTAGCAGCCAACTTACGTGATGTGTATTTTGTAGCTCGTTGACGTGTATAGGCTTGTTGAAGACCAAATAGACATACCCTCAGTTGCTTTGGAGGTAGCCAGAGGTATGATTTATAAACATATGATATCTCATCTTACCTAAGTTTTTGTACAGTTTCATTTGTACTTCTTCTTTGGGTAACCGTGGGTGTCCGGGCCGGCTTGCGTGTACCTTTACTAATCCCATGTGGGCCTAAAGATAACAGTCAAGAAAATCGTGAATGGCCCTGGACAAGCCCAAGGCCTAGCCTTTATTTGCGAGTTGAGTTGGCCCTCTGCATTTTCGAAAAATGGATCATAAGATGACGGTTTCCCTTTTTGTGATTAATATGTTCCAGCATGGTTAGCATTATCAGTGAAAAATCTGTTAATAATTATTTAATGGTTTAATTCATAATATTTAATTAGTATATGTAACTAGGTGGAAAGTTCATATGAGAACCATCAAGATTTTGAGAACCGTAAAAACCAGTATATGCATATATGTATATATATATATATATATGCATTCGTTTTTGCATATACTCACTGAAATTGATTTAGTTGAGTTCATGAATCTTTTTTCATCTACTTGCAGACTTGCCTTCAGCTGCCCGGGATTTCATGCTTTCCTGGAGTGCTTCTGTCCTATCTGATAAATGAATCAGGTTTTTGACGTATCCATTTTGCACCCACACGTTCATATCTTTTCTTTTTCGAATTTCACACTAAACCACAGAAAGATCCTATTTGATAACAAAGACACATACGTACAGCTGTATAGAATCAGTTTTATAGGCAGAGAGGAGACCACCACTGGCTATATAATATATACCGGTCAATAGACCCTGTGACTTCAATGTTAGAGGTGATTGTATATAACACAGTAATTGCAGTACTCGAGCTTTATGCAAGTAGTTTTAGTGAACTTCGTCGTTCTTTTTAATTTGTATGTGCGTTTGTGTCTAATATAAACCAAACCCAGTATATTCCACCAGAGGTGGGGTTTGGGTCTAGGGGAGGGTTTGGTATACGTAGACCCGACCTCTACCTCAAATAGTAGAGCGGTCTTCTATTCGAATTGTGAGAAAACCTGAAAAAGATACATGTATCGCTCTAAATGTTTAACCATTGTGCGATTTAATACATATTCGCGGGTGTAGCCTTGCTTCTGATTTCCGAAGCATATATCAAATCGGGGGTGTTTGGGATTACTTATAAAAACAACTTGTTGACTTATTCCGGTGTGCCACTGGTAATAAGCACTTTTGAGTGTTATGATAAACAACTTATACCGGTGCCAAACCGGTAATAAGGAGTTTTTAAAGAAGTTAAACCCTTCTGACTTATAATAAGTTGATAAGTGTTTTTTGTAAAAATGCATAAGTTGTTTCAAATAAGTAATCCCAAACACCCTTAATTTTTTATAATTATATTTCCGTCAAACCAAAAACACCGTCAGGGGCAAAACCTACATTCGTGACATGCCATGAGATTGTGGGATCAACCGTTTCGTGTAATTTAGATGTCGATACTTTAAATATTTTTCTTTACAATTCATCGCGTCACTTAAAATTAGAGTAAAATGCAGATTCTTCATGTGGTTATATGGGAATTATGGATTGGATCCGCAACAAAATTTAAACCACAATGATAATATCTGAATCAATTTGTTTAGGGACTCGACTCATAATTGTGATATAAGTATAGGGACCAAATCTGTAATTTACTATTTTAAATTTATAGGAGAAAAACAAAATACCACTCATACCTAGATGCATTTCTACATACACAATAGAATTAGAATCTTGTGGAATTTTTTGACGGACCTGGTGCATATGGTGGTACGTGTCATCGTATTATTCCTTTGTCGAAGGATAAAAAAAATTAGGTTCGTGAAAGGTACAACCGTATTAATCTGTTGTGTGACACCGTGTGTATTTTGAAACTACAATGAGAACAAGTTTTATTTGGTAGAGTTGGTTTGCAAGGCTTCTATTCCACCCCAGACCCAAGTTCGAATCGTGTTAGTGTCATTTTCTTAGTCAAATGGTGTCACCATTTGAAAAAAAATTCTATATATTTGTTTCTTATAATCAAACGGTGTCACCTTTTGAAAAATTTCCCTTTTTCTTATAGTCAAATAGTGCCGCTATTTGAAAAAATTTATAGGTCCTTCTCTGATGAAAACCTTAATGCATATTAACATGAATCTTATAATGTCTTAATATGGAAAACAATTAAATTTAGCAATACCTTAACGTGAAAAACAATGAACATTAACATATGTTAACAGACCTTAACATATAAAACAATGAATTTAATGTACCTAAACATACATTAACTTACCTTCATCATGAAAATGTTAAGATACATTAAGAGATCATTCGGTTAGTGTTGATGCAGTGGCCGAATGACCGATTAGCCCCTCCTTCGGAACATGCAATGCACACGCCTACAGACGATTCTTGCACCCTCGAGATCAATGACGCACACAGTGTTCCTACTGTTTCTGCCAAATTCGGAATTCCTATTGAAAGCAAGCTCATATACAATATCGTCTAAACTAAAAAAAATTGTTTTATACGTATACTAAAATGAATGGCTTTTTACTCATTTTGTATATACCATTAACAAAACACTTCTATAGAAAAACATATATGTCTTTTTGTATGTTCATTTTTTCTAATTACAAAGTAGTACTACTTATAGCTCTAGCTTCCAACGGTTGTTTACTAAATGCTTACCCGGTAAGCACTTACTGATTATGGCGCCATCCTAACTTACTTTATTGGGTAACATGCTTGCCAACCAAAATGAATTTTTGGTAAATATCTTTTACCCGGTACCCACTTGTAAGAGTTTTTTTTTTCCATAACTTACAGGGTAAGATTCTCCTTGCTATGGGTTTTTGTCATGCTCATCTCGAAGGTAAGATTCTCATTTGACCCGGTAAACTTTTAGTAAACGGGCCCTAAATTTTCAGCTCCCAAGTCCCAATTAGCTTTTCAATTGATTTTGCCAAACAGATTCCAAATTATAGTTGAATAGTTCATGAGATTGCTCGAGGTGTCTAACACTCTTACAAAGGCGTCTGTTAGAGGGGTAGGAGAGGTCAAAATGATGAAGTTACTAACCAAAGTCATGTTTGGTAGTAGTTTAATAGGCTTTATGAAACTCGTAACTTATTGGTTAGTATGGTTGTTTGATAGTGACTTAATGATTTAGAAAGTAGTTTATTCAGTAAGCTTCGAAGGGAGAGCTTTATATAGAAAGCCAAGTCTTTTCCAAAACACGTCTCATCCAATTAATCATATTTTCATTTAAACTTTATCATAATTTGATTAATTAATCTAATTTATTAAATATTCAAAATAAAATAAAAATATTTGTCGTAACATAATTCATCATTCAAAAACTTCTTTCCATACACGATTAAAATGATATCAATATTAAATATTAAAAAAAAATACATAAACATCATGTGATAATTAGAAAGAACCCAGATACGATTTCACAAATTTTAGGTACGACAATTTAATGCCTTTACATGATGCTTATTTAGGGACTCTTTGGCTGTTGCTAAATGACTTAGTGCAGAATTATTAAGTGGTCAGAATGATTAACAGGCTCTGATGATATAATGCAAAATAAAATATAATTATTTGATAATTGTTTACAATGAAATTAGGACACTGAATGGTTAAGGGATGCTTATGATACAAAATCATTCAGAGGGTTTTAGAACCATTAAGAATCAGATTTTTTTTTGCCAAACAAGATTAAAACAATTCAAATAAACGAATATGTTAAAAGGAAATATTTTTGCATTGAAGAAAGTCGTTTTTGGACCAGTAAGGACCGAAGATTAATCCAAAAAAGGACTAATCAGTTACGAGACCCGTTTTAGTCCTAAATTTGGAACTTCGGACCGGTCCTTAATCCCATTCTACAAGCACTCATAACTTGTTATTAATTTAAACTCATCAGCACAAGAGTCAGAAGCAGCTACAATGTTTGAGTTGCATTACATATTACAATTCTACTTAACAGTATGCTACTGAATTACACATGATCAGATAGTAGATTAGTTTAAATACAAGTACATAAACCCTAGCCTAAAACTTAACAAAATCCCCTGTTTCTGCACTTGATCCCCACAATTAGACTACAAACAATACATTAAGATTTACGTCCGTTAATTCTGAATAAATAAACCCTAAAAAAGTGGTAGGAAGATTTGTTTAGTTAACTAAGTTACAAGCAATGCCAACATGAATGGGTCATTTGGCCTGACTCCTACCTCTTCTGTTGTATCTCCTGCTTCTTGTCACTGATCGTGTTGTTGGACTATCGGTGGTCTTTTTAGTAGAAGGAATGGTATCATTGGTGTTAGAGCTGCCCTGAGAACCATTCACGTTCACATCCGGCACCTCTCTAGATTCGGTAATCAGATCACAAATCCCTTCATTCACACGGTTCACGTCATCAGACAGCCCAAGGTTTTGTTCGCTGTTTGGATGAACATGGTGATGAGAATGATTAGGGGCAGCATCTTGGTCCTCTGGTATCTGAAGCACAAAAAAGGCAAACGGTTTTTGTGATTTATAGATCATCCTTTGTGACTTACCAAATCCTTCACATTAAAGAACTAGCAAATTTCTGTGACCACTAGATACCTGATTTTGCTCCTCAATTGTCGGAAGGGATGACAAGGCTTCGAAAACATCTCCAGTAGCCCTTGTATCTGAAGACGAAAAAAAACAGAAAATAAAATAAAGAGAGAAAGGACAAGAGATTAACGTAATATTCCCTCCACATCCCAAAATAAATGTATTCTCTCTCTTTTTGGTGAAGTTTTAATTAAAATTCACGTCTCTACAAAGTATTGATGATGTGTTGGCAAAATTCCTTTAGTTTATCACTATCACAAGGATATTTTATATATTAGACAGACAAATGAAAACTCACGACACTATCTTTTTGGCACAAGAGAGAGGGGGGATAAAGTAGAATCATCGGGAAGCATGAGGAAAAGAAACAAACCGGTGAAGCCCAGAGAACCCCCATCTGCAGCCAGGTTCACGGTTTCTTCCTCTGGTTTTGGTGCTTCTAAAGAGAATGGCTCGCTTGGCTTAAATAACCCTACAGCCTTGTCATTTGCCAAAGAACTTGCTGAAAAATCATGTTCTACTGCAAGTTTTGGGGATTGATGTCTGCTTAGCACATCTTCTGTTGCCTTGGAACGCAACCGCCGTACTTCCTCCTGAATGTTCCATGATCCAGCAGAAAGATAATCCCTCTGTGCATTGAACCAAATCAGAATATGTTCATAAATAGCATAACCTCTTATTGTTTCAAGAACATGTTCACTAGCCCATGAGGATCAACCGTCATTAATTAACAGTTGCTTGTTATTTCCCTACTTTTAATTTATGTTGGTCTTTTAGCAGGTTGTATGATGGATTACCGATTTTGAAGTGTGGCGAAGAACCACTTTTACAAGTCCTACTTAGTGGAGAGAGAAGTTAGTTGGCTTCAGTTAACTGCAGATATTATTAATTATAAATAGTTCCTACATTCCAAGATAAGAAAGTCAACTTCGAGATATGCAAGAAAATTACTTTGGGGATAGGTTATACACGATTAAATACAAATAAATTACATTACTAAGCCTATAAACAAGCCAAATAACAAGAAGACCAGCTTGCATTCACTCATTACTAAAGGACCTGTTATTTTTGGGACTTTCCACTGTTAAAGATATCATGCAGATAAGAGGAAAGATCATCATGAAGAGCCATTGGTTCCCAACAATTCAAGAAGTCCTAGTTCTATGGGTGAAACAAGAATATGGGCGTCAACCATAAAAGAAGGGGACACCCACATTAAGGGTACATATCTATAACGATATTCTTTAATTGCCTCTTGATGATACAGATCCAAAAATCTAGCTACAATCTGCTCCATGATTACCAGACACATCATCACCAATTAGCAATGAACTTGACAAAGGTGCCCTGGATTCACCAAGTCCTTGCATAATTCTTTTCGCTAGATATTTCATCTATCCTATGAAGACATTTCTTATACACTGGACCTTGAAGGAGAAAAAAAACGTTTTATAGCAGTTCCGCAGTGCCTAGAATCACAAGAATCCATCAAAAGGAACAGTGTAGAAATAATGATTGCTTAGAAAATTGTTGTTCAATAATCAATAGTTATGATAGCACCTTTGCCAATGAGTAAGAATATGCACCAACTGAAGAATATGGAGTTCCTTTGTTCAACAAATCTGCTGGTAAAGGTGATGGAGTTGGTGGAACACTATGACTTATAGGAGATACCCATGGAGAACGAGCCTGCATATATGATTTGGCCACATCCACCGGTGAGCCTGCTTCACCTTTGGCAATCTAAATAACACAAAGAACTAACATCATGATGCAACAGACTGTGAATGTACTAAAGAAGACCACATGAACAAGCCTTAGGGATAGATAAACATGGAACCAAAAACCTCTGCCTTTTGGTGACACCCATAAATCAGAGCAAGTCATAGCATGGTCCTAGAGAGCTTACTTTTCAAATTCAACGTGACTTGCTGATTGATTAGGGCAAGGTTCCTTAAAAACCTCTCCTTTTTTAAGGTATCCTGAACAGTTCCTGTAGGATGAGTGCCTTTTTCAAGAAAATAGAGAATAGCAGGAGAGTTCAATAAGTTCGATTTTTGACCATATCATAAAAACCCACTTTCCGAAGATCTCCTACTCTTTGGATTTACGGTACAAACACTTATGACCTCCCCCTCTACGCCCTGCGATAATGATTCCTCTGGCATTACAACCTTTACCACAATGATGTTGTCCATAGATCAAACTATAGTCGCAAAGTTTGACACCATTCAACTCCATGCTCTTCCCTATGATTAACATCCTCAACAATCTCTCCACATTCTTTAAAACAGATCACAAACAAAATGTGACTTTAAATACTTCTTTTGTTGGTCATTCTTGAGTCATCTTTAACCTCCCTACCAATACCATTAAAGTTACATTTCACAAAATTTCATTGTATATTTAGCTTAATCTAACACCATTAGATTCCATAATGCTCCTCCAAACCTCCAACTTTGCATTAACACCTTCCCTGGTCGTTTAACACCGTTACTCTGTCTAACACCATGCCTAATGAAGGTAAAACATCCAACTTTGACAAACAACATGCATGCCCCATACATACAAGCTCTCTTATTTTATAAATGACCTCATGCACCTCCTAGCTGGAAATTCACATTGTGTCGCCTTGGCATTCCCTAGTCTATTTCAGTAGCAAAAGATGGAAAGCTACTCAGTTAATCATTAAAGCAAACTTCGACAAATCCGAATGGGCCTTAGTAAGATGCATAAGCAAACTCTAAAAAATTGTAGATAAAAATCATTTCCACATTTTGCACATATTATGCTAATTGATATTTATTGGTAGATGTCATGAGTTTGTATAGCCTCACAAATGGAATTGTTGCATTACTTTGTCAAGGGAGAAAAAGAGAAGTCCTCTCGTTGAAGATTGCAAAATCACATGTTTTATTGTTATTCATTCTATTTATCTATACCCTCTCTCAAAGAAACATGCGCATAATATGGCTTGGGGTTCTCACTATCATCCTCTCTAGTTTTTTTGTATAGTGGAGCACAAGTGTACCACTACACATCCACTAGTAGTTGAAAACATGTTGCACTCTCAATATGCATATGTATAACCTTTAAGAGACAGCGACTTATAAGCTTAGATTCTCAAAGCACTTGCTGGGAGACATGGACACCCAATATTATAAAAGTGGATATTAGGACAGAAGGCATCAAATAGAAGGGAGTGTAAGTGCAATACAAGTTACAAATAAGAAGTTTTATTAAATCAAATAACCAGAAGCTGTAAGGTAGTACTAACATTTGGCGTCACTAGAGCTTTGGAGCCATGGATGCTGTCCAGGTCTGACTTTGAACTCGATCCAACCAAGTTTTGCGTAATCAGTTTTCTTGCTTCCATGATAGCTTGGTTGCAAGTATCTGGATTCTCTGTTTAGGATTATAGAAGTACAACATTATTTATACATATTCAAGAAAGAAAAACAACGGTCAAATTAGAGATATTCTTAGATATAACAAGATTAGTTCTACTGAGAATCTTACTTAATTCAACATCCGTTCCATCTCTCATGGTACATTCAACAACTCGTGAATTGATAATCCCTATTAGTCTATCACACTCTTCCCTGTTAGAAATTGCAAAATACATTCATAAGTACAAAAGTAGGCCTACAGATAAAATAGACATAAGAATTAAGAACATTAAGAACTAAAACGTACATGTGTTAGCCAGTAAAATAAAGGAAGACGATGCAAGTCATTTTTACATATAGTTCCCATAATATGGAATACCAAGTCAAATTTAGGAGGAACATCCCTTAGGTAACGAAGCATTTCAGATTCATATTACCTACCTAGATGGTCATCTATATTCTATTCTCACAATACCTACCTAGATGGTCATCTATATTCTATACTCTGCACATTGTCATCTCTATCCATCAGATAATGTTCATGTCATGTTTGTAGAATCACAAATAATCATTGTCAATCCTGTTTAATTCAAAATGCTCAAGGACCTAGCGTTTGGTACGCAGGCATGATTGGACAGGACTAGACAGGACAAGAGGGTAGAACTGGATAGGACTGAACAGGACAGAACAAGAGTATGTCTAGTGTTTGATACGACTAGGACTGGATGGGACAATACAAGACAAGCTAACCCAAAAGTTATTTGATGATTTTAAATATTATATAATAGTTATAATTAACACAAATAAAGTAAATAATTAAAGAATTTAATTTATAAATATTTGTACACAATTTTCATATAAATGAATACATACATATATAATGGTAACAAATTTGAATGAAAATTTCGATATAATTGATGGTAGTAGTGGTGGTGGTGGAGGTGGTTTTGGTTATGATGGAGGTGGTGGTGGCCAACGGTAGTAGTGGCAATGGCGGTGGTGGTCGGTGGCCGACGGTGTTTTGGAGGTAGAGGCAGTGGTGGTTGGCGGACGACGGTGGTTATAGAGGACATGAAGATGGTAGATTCTGGCAGTGATGGCAATTGACAACGGTGGAGGAGGTAGTTGTGGCTGATGTAGTGAAGATAGTGGTGGTGGTGGTGGTGGTGGTTATAGTGGAGGTGAGGTGGCAATGAATGGTAGTGGCCGATGGTGGTTGTGGAGGTCGTGGAGGAGGTTGTTGCAGTAGAGGAGGAGTTGGAGGTGGCCAACGGTGCTAGTGGTGGTGGCAATGGATGGTGGTGGTCGGTGGCCGATGGTGGTTGTAGAGGTGGCAATGGACAGTGGTGGTCGGTGGTCGACGGTGGTTGTGGAGGTCATGGAGGAGGTTGTTGCGGTATAGGAGGATTTGGAGGTGGCCAACGGTGGTAGTGGTGGTGGTCGGTGGCCGATGGTGGTTCTAAAGGTAGCAATGGATGGTGGTGAAGGAGGTTGTTGTAGTATAGAAGGAGTTGGAGGTGGCGAACAGCTGTAGTGGTGTGGTCGATTATGGTAGCGGTGGCGACGGACTTGGTGGATGGTGGTTGTAGAGGCGACGAAGGATTTTGTTGTAATGGAAGAGAAGGTGGAGGTGGCCGCCGGTGGTGGTGGCGGCGGCCGAAACTAGCGGTGATGACCATTAAAACAAATACCATATTAAGGTTATATATCAAACTAGGGTAGATTAGTAATATTTTAGTTTCTGGCATATTCTTGTCCCATCTTGTTCCACCTATTTTGGTGGAACAAGAAAAAGCCTCTTTTGTCCCATTATGTCTCACCTTGTCCCAGTTCTTGTCCCTGTCCCATGTCACACCAAACATGGAACAGTGAGTTCTCGTTCTGTCCCATGTTGTGCCAAACATGGGCCAGTGAGTTTTGTCCCGTCCTGTCCTGTCCCATCCCATGTACCAAATGCAGCCTTAAAGGTAGCGTTTGGTACGCAAACATAATTGGACAGGACTGAACAGGATTGAACTGGACAGGATAGGACATGACAAGACAAGAGGGTAGGACTGGACTGGACAGGACAAGACTGAACATAACAGGAGTCAAAGCACTCTCCGAGGGCATGGAATGTCTCATTTTTTGGTAAGAATCTCCAGACCAATAGGAAAACATAATAAATAGGGAGTATGTGAAAGATCCATTATTTTCTAGGGGCGAAGAGCCTCACTCCAGTCAGTGAAGACTTGGAGTGAAGCCTTGGGATCAATTTTATGATAGTATTCGACAAATGGGAAAGGTGGATAGACTGTACTGTACTAATGCAAGACTCCTCTCATTCTCAAAGTAGYTGTCTCCGTCCCGCTATTCCTGCTTCTGGAATAGAGTAAGCTTCTCTTCTTTCGCTGCCTCTGCCTCTCCTCTGGTTTAGAACCCCCAAATCCACAATGACAATGATTGCTTCAAGGTCCACCTCTTAATAGAAGACCCGGTCCATCTTCTCTTCTGGTGTTTGGTACGACTAGGACTGGACGAGACAAAACTAGACAAGCTACCCCCAAAATTATTTGATGATTTTAATTATTATATAATAGTTATAATTAACACAAATAAAGTAAATAATTAAAGAATAAATATTTGTACATAATTTTCATATTTGTACCAAATTTGAATGAAAAATTTGATACAATTGATAGTAGTGGTGGTGGTGGAGGTGATTTTGGTTATGGTGGAGGTGGAGGTGGTGGTGGCCGACGGTAGTAGTGGCAACGGACGGTGGTGATCGGTGGCCGACAGTGGTTATGGAGGTAGAGGCAGTGGTGCTTGGTGGACGACGGTGGTTATAGAAGACATGAAGATGGTAGATTGTGGTGGTGGTGGCAGTTGACAATGGTGGAGGAGGTAGTTGTGGTTGATGTAGTGAAGATAGTGGTGGTGATGGTTATGGTGGAAGTGAGGTGGCAATGAATGGTGATGGCCGATGGTAGTCGTGGAGGTCGTGGAGGAGGTTGTTGCAGTAGAGGAGGAGTTGAAGGTGGCGAACGGTGGTAGTGGTGGTCGACTATGGTAGAGGTGGCAATGGACTTGGTGGACAGTGGTTGTGGAGGCGGTGGAGGATGTTGTTGTAGTGGAAGAGGAGGTGGAGGTGGAGGTGGCCATTGGTGACCGTCGGTAGTGGTGGCAGCGGCCGAAACTAGCGGTGATGACCATTAAAACAAATGTCATATTAAAGTTATATATCAAACTAGGTTAGATTAGTAATATTTTAATTTATGTCACATTCTTGTCCCATCTTGTTCCACCTATTTTGGTGGAACAAGAAAAAACCTCTTTTGTCCCATGTTGTCCCACCTTGTCCCTGTCCCATGTCACGCCAAACGTGGAACAGTGAGTTCTTGTTCTGTCCCATGTTGCGCCAAACATGGGACAGTGGGTTTTCTCCCGTTATGTCCTGTCTTGTCCTGTTCCATGTACCAAACGCAGCATAAAAGAAGAATGTAAATCAAATCTAAGCAGCTGAAGACCATATGAGTTCATAAGCATCAACCTTAAATTCTAGCTCACAAAAGTCATTACAAAAGGTAATCTTGATGCCTAACTGATGAAGAAGCCACTGATGAATAGGTGTGTTGTAGGGTAAGAAAAAAAATCTACAACACAAGAAAAATGCCACTTTAAAAAAAAAAAAATAAACCTAGGTAATACAAAGTCATCCATAGAAGTAATAAGATATTTAAAGCTTAGAATTGAATCAACAATGCGAAGTTCCCAAATATCATAATGTACCAACTAATATAGCAATCTGAAGCGACTAGACGATCTAGAGTTAAAAAATGCATGAGTTGAATCAAGCACAAACAAATTTTGTTGGCTTAGTAGTTAGTAGGGTAGAAAAAAACTTGAATGTAATCCCAAGGACCCTTTTGATTCTTTCGTGTTACTTACCTATTTATTCTTCACCATTACCAGTAAAAAGCCGAAAGCAAATAAACGTGGATAAATAGCATGACTTTAACCATGGAATTTCATGCAAGTGCAATAAACTCCATGATAATGTAAAAGAAGACAAGAATAATTGCAGGACACTAAATCAGAGTGCATCAAGTCCTTGAAGAAAAGTAATGGAAGAAAATAAAGAAGAGATGCAACAATTACTACAAGTTCCTTCAATTTCGCAATCAAGAATACCAATGAAATTACAAGTAGGCCAAAACTGACCAATTAAATCAGCATGAAACTACAAATGGGATAAGGAAAACATGATGTTACCTTGAAAAACTTTCGAGCATAAGTAGTTGCTCAACTAAATACAAAATCTCACTCTTCCCCGGCGAACTGCCTTTCTTCTGGTGTCACAAGAATACATATTACTTAAGAAATGTTGCATTCAGAAATTTAGAGCAGAAAAAAAAAAAGAACTGGCACATTAAGTAGCATCATGAATTTCATTGCCTCTAAACAGTGCATGCATGAATGTGCAGAACTGCGGATAATGATCAGTGTTTATCTTTGGGATTTGCAGCAAGTTTTTCTCAAAATGGATAAAGAGAACAGGTCCAGTAATTATGACTAAATTAATATGATGCATTACAACAGCTCTTTGGCAACACGTAATGTTTCATCCTGACTGAGCATATGATTACAGCATTGAAAACATTGGCTGATGTGAAGGTGTAATATCCTTATAATATATTGTCACAGACTCGTACAAAGAGATCATGTTCTTTTTCCCTCGCAGATCATAGTTGAATGCGAACCAACAAATTGATATTCTCTAGATTGAGTATCAATTGACTAGTAAAAATCAACTAATAAGTTTTAACAAGAGCTTGTAAGGATGAAGAACTCTAGATCAAAATAGTCCCTCAATCCTCTGACTGAAACGCAAAGATGCTGAGTCCAATTATTCATACAACCACAAACTCTGGAAGGATAACTGAAGGGATTCTTTTAAGTTTCTCAATAATGTCCACAAGAAACAAGTGCAACCTTGCTGTCATGTAACATTTAGAAGTTCGAGACAAGAAACTATGTGCTTCACCAATATGAAAAACTATGACAGGGATGCATGCATATATTTAGGTGTATTAAGTGTGGTCATATATATTAGGGTTACATGCTACATATCAGTTTCAATCATTTATTAAAAAAATATGCAGTTGTTTCAAGTACTTACTTCACAAGAAAGGTTAGCTTATGATCACAAGTCATACATAATAGCCATGCATTGACGAAGAACTAGAAAATAAGAACTGCATAGTTACCTGATTCAACCCACCTCCCACATCAGAGAGGTTCTCGTTATCTTCATAATCATCTCCTATAATGCCTTCTGTGAAAACAAGTGACCTTTTTTTAAATTATCGGTAACCAACAAGAAAACAGAGAACGCAAATTTAGTTGCTGTTACAAAACAGTAACCCCCCCCCCCTCTCACACACACACAACGAACAGGAGTTCTTGATAAAACTATGTGTCAGTTTTTGTCTGTTAGTGTGTAAGCATCAAGTATCCAGATGTTGCTCAACATTGATTTGAGTCATGAAAATTTCTCTGACAAATACTTGTGGGTGCCAAGTCAAATCAAACAATTTTCAGTGGATAGAGGATTAGGGGGATGCCATACTTAAATGCTACAGTCTGTTTCATGTTACAACAGTAATTCAACATCATCGAAAACGCTAAAAAAACAGAATCCTGTCAAGTGTCAAGTCACCACTAAGACGGCATATCACTCTTCACAGATAGTCACAGAAATTCATCGACTTCTTCCTTCCGCTTTCATTCATTTTCTCTGTTTCCTCTTCAAAATTAATCTTCAATCTAAGCTTCTTCAATACATGTATTTTCTTCTATAAGACGAACCCTCACTCAGCGGTTCATATGACACATTCGTAACTAGCCCTAATCCATATTACTCCCTTTTTACCACAATGAGATTCCAAAAATCACGAAGACTAAATTACATGCTATTGTCATTTCTAACCTTGAAGAACTTGCCAAATTTTACATCAACACGTCCCTTAAGTTGGACCAATTATTAAACGATAATTCAAACTTGCATACTCTCTACCTGAATCAGAATCGCTGTCTGAAGAAGAGGAATGCGAGCCCCAGCCCTTGGGGTTCCAAATTGATGAAAGAAGTTTAGTAGCACCACCAACAACAAATTTAGCAGGGGAAACAAGTCCATTGAACCAATTAGGGCTTTCTGGTTGCAGAGGCGGAGTGGGGCGGTCATATGGAGTCTTTCTGGCGGCAGTTCGCCTACGTTTCACTATTTTTCCCCCGGATCTTCCGCCACCGCCGTCTCCGGCAGCCTGAGAACTGGAAGCCATGGTGGGAAAATGGGTTCGTCGGGGACAAAGGAGGATGAATGGTAATGGTGTCGTGAGTTTGTGGGGGGAAATCGAACAGACAAGAAAATCGAAAGGAATCGGAGTTTGGCAGTTATTGAGAGTTTAGAGTAATTTATACAAATAGTCCCTCAACTTATTAATCTCGTACAAGTACCGTGTCTATAGAAAATATTTTTCACTTTTAGTCCTTAAACACGAGCGAACCTACGCCTATAACGAGCAATTACAAGGCCGTTAATCAGGTCATCGAGTGACCGAGCCAAAAAACTGATGAATTTGTTCTTTTGGTTCACGTTCCAATAACTTTTTCTTCATTTCAGTTCGATGACAACGTTATTTTATTTACTTGTTCATATGGTTTTCGATTTTAGTATTGATTTTATCTCAAACGCTGATTTTGATTTTTCTGTCTTCATTCTCGATTGTGGAACTTGTTTTTAGTTGCAAAATTTTGATGGGTCGAGAAAAATGAAGACGAGCTATCGATCGTGTTTTAACTGTACGGTGTTTAAATCAGTTTGTCTTGTGACTTCTCTGTGTTTTTTCGGTCAAGATAGTGTGGCATTATGGTTTCGTTGGGTGTTGGACAATGGTGGGTGATGGCATGATGGTAGTGCGGGGGCGGGGGCGGGGGCGGTGGCGGTGGCGGTGGCAACGGTAGAAAATGAAGATAATGACGATGATGTTATATTTAATCGGACAAAAATGTCCTTAAGAGATTATGTGCCTTGCAGGTAATTACATATTCAATTGGACAAAAATAACCTTAAAAAGGTAATATGCTTCATATGTGAATATGAAGAAAATGTCATATAACTATTTTCCATAGCTAACAACATACAATTCAATTATAGGTTGAAAAACTTTGCTTTTTGACCAAAATTAATAGAAAAGACAAAAATACCCTTAGGTTATTCTTTTCTTTTCTTTTTAATTAACTTAGATATCCAATCCGCTATACGAGCCGATTAATCTCAAGACGACCACCTGTTTTGCAGATAGTCCGGAGTCATCGGATTTGAACCTCCATGGCTACAAAGAGATTTTTATTTCTCCTTAGATTTGAACTTGGAACCTCCTGGTACTTTTGACCTTTAGAGTCAAGCTCAAACCAATCAATCACCACATTTGTGATTAAAATATTTGTAAAATATTTTAACATGTTGGTCCAACAACCTAGTCTTGAGTATGTTTCTCAGTATGAATATCAGGAAACTTTGGATATACAAGAAAACCTGCAAAGACACTCACATATCTACTCGAAATAACAGTTTAATCTGTTACTGTATTCTATTCAACAAAACGTATAATAGTTTTTCAGAGAGAATATGAATGAGTGAAACAAAATGGAGTGAAAATAAATTAGCATACGAACCAAAACAACTTAAGATCGTTTGACAACTTCAGAAGGTTTCATTTGTAAGTACACATCCATTATACTTTACTAGAAGGGTACTCGCGCAATGCAGCGAGATATATCTTCATTTTAATGTTTTGTTTTATTTTTTTTGTTTTTGTTGAAATAATACGGTTTATGTGATTTTGAGAAAAATAATATTTTTACTTTTGAATAAAAATAAAATTGAATATATAGTAAAAATTTTAAAAAATATATCGATATTAATATCAAATTAAATATTTAAAAGTTTTTATTTTTTTACAATTTCTTTAATTAATTTTTTTTATTATAATTCAATTTAGGTCAAATAGTGAAGTAATTTATTTTTGGCCTAAATTTTTATAGAAAGATAATGATTCTGTTATAACTCAATAATTATTCTAGTTATATTTGGATTTTTGATATTTAAAATTAAATGTTTATCCTATATTTGATTAGGTTTATTTGTAGTTAGTTATACGAATTCAAAAATATAGTTTTAATAAGTTGTACTTATGTATAATTTACTTGTAATCTTAAATTTTAAGTAATGTGCATTAACACACGGTACTTCATGCATAAAGAATATTTTTAAAGAGTTTTTGTCAAATGCTTTATAATATATTATAGATACGTGATAAACAGTGAATAAGAGTGAAACCCTCACAGATGGGAGTATATTCATCGAAACTCAAGAAATACATCATTTTCAAGGTGTAACTTCACAGATGTTAGTACGTTCACGAAACTCAAAAGATATATTGGTTTCGTAGCGTAACCTCACAGATGCAAGTATGTTCATCGAAACTAAAAAGGTATATCGTTTTGAAGGTGTAACCCGCCTTGTGACACATAGTTGCAACCAAGACCCTTAACGATCAAATAAGAACAACTAGATAAATGTTGATATTCATAAACACGTTTGCGGTAATTGCAATTATGTTTACCAAATCCTTTGTCTACACCCTTAAAAGTTAAATTACCGTGTGAATTCCAAATAGTGTGACACAGAAAGAAGTGTACAAATAGAACTGTTTAAAGATACAAGTTCAAAAATGGACCTGATCATCACAAAAAGTAGACTGGAAAAAAGAAGCTTGTTTAAAGATGCGAGTTGAAAAATACACCCGATCAGATAAAAAAAACGAAATTAAATTTATTATGTTTTCAATTAATTCTTGCCCGATCATAAAGAAGAGAATTACATTGGTTTAAACTCGATAACTTGAACAATAAGTCCTATAAGATACCTAGAAGCGCATCGAAATCATTTCAATGATAGTACCAGTTAGAAAATCTCATACTTGAACCTCCATCCAACCATCGTTCCTCAGTTGTGGAAGACCTTTCATTTTGAGTCTATTAAGGGGGTGTTTGGGATCGCTTATTTGAAACAACATATACTTTTCTACAAAAGTCTTTATCAACTTATTATAAGTTAGAATGGTTTAACTTCTTCAAAACCTTCTTATTACCGGTTTGGTACCAGTATAAGCTGTTTATCCAAACACTCAAAAGTGCTTATTATGGTGTCACACTGAAATAAGTCAATAAATTGTTTTTTATAAGCAATCCCAAGCACCCCCTAAATTGGTTGTGGGTGTTTCGTTCAAGCTTTGAACTAATAACTGGAGGTTGAGGACTGTGTAAATAAATAAACCAAAAAGCAGCCACATGTCAAGTGTTCAAATGGGAATTTTTATCTGTCACTTTCGTAGGAGCCTGAAATTCGGAATGGTTTTTTGTTATTTTCAAGACAAGGTAACATGCATATGTTGTTTCATGCGACAATATTTGGGGTTTAATTTTGCAGATGATGCTAAAACTCATGATAGGATCACAAGCCATTTCTTCGAATCTGCAACAGGAAAAAAACATAATGCGTGTAATAGAGTCATTAATTATGGGTGATTAATGCAACTGTTCTATGTCGGATAAATTAGTGGAAAGTTCTTGTTAACAAACTCGAGACAGATGTCTGTTACCCAAAACTATTAGCGCATTATGGATGTAATGGGGGATTCATATAAAAAGACTAAATATCATGAGAACAAGCAGTGAATATGGAGGAGGCTGCAGAGGTGATCTGGGGTCGGGTTTTGGAGGCAGAAAATGTTGCTATTATACTAATGGGAGTTTCAAGAGATCTTGTAGCACAACATGATCAACTCGTTATATTTATAAATCTCGATGGTTTTAATCAAAGAGGAGATATGTTCAGATCAAAACTCAACAATTGCATCAAACTGTTGAAAGATAGAAAATCTCAATAACAATATCACACAGCTTTTTGCAGATAATCTTGAAGTTTCAACTTTGAGGGAAAAGGTGAAATTGCTAGAAGAAAAGGTGATAGAATCCGAATCTAACAGGAAGAATGTGAATGCATCAAAAGAATCAATGCAAGAAAGTGTTAGAGACATGGAGAGCATTATAGAGTCGTAAAAAGAGAATGTGAGCATATAACAATGCACGTATGTGTTACTTGTTGTATATGTAGTCTTTATAATGAGACTTTGTCCCACATAGAAAGGATAATCTTACTTGTATTGTGAGATATATATATATATATATATATATATATATATATATATATATATATATATGAGGAGTGATCAAATGAAAACCACTACAATTTGTAAAAACCGTAAAAACTACTCTTATCCGTCGTTAATCTTATGAAATTTTTTCATGAAATTGTTTCATATAATACTTTTTTTGATAAAGTTGTTTCATATGTGGTTATGAAATTGTTTCATATACTAATTAATGAAATTTTAATGAAACTGTTTCATGTATTTCTCTAAAATTAAAATAATGAAGATAATAATATACATGATTAACACCCTCCACAATAAAAATGGTTAATCAACCTCTCATAATTACAAAAAATGAACAAAATGAAAAATTATGATTGGTTGAATGAGGTTTTCACGGTTTTTACAAATTAAGTGGTTTTTATTTGAACCCACCCCTATATATATATGGTTGGGTTCACGTGAGACCAAGGGTTTTTCGTGAGACCCGTAAGACTAATTTATGTTCATTGATCAAATTTATGAAATAATGATCTAATGGTTGCAAAGTTGCAAGGTGGTAATTTCATAATTAGTGAGAAGTCTCGTGGCGTTTATAAATGTTCAGATCTGACGATTGTAAATCTAATCCAAGGATTGAGAATTGGTCTTACGAGTCTCACGAAAAACCATTGGTCTCACATGATCCCAAATATATATATATATATATATATATATATATATATATATATATATACAGAGAGAGAAGGGTTCAAACAAGAACACCTTCATTTTACAAGAACGCGATAACACCTTTTTACCATAGACAATCATATGTGATACTAAATTAGAGACGCGGACGATTTTCGATGTGATCTTGGTTGCGGGCCAAGGCGTCCTTACACCACTAAGCCCCCTCACAAGTATTATCACATGTGATAAGGGTGTTGTTTATATGGTACTATAATCCATCAAGACAATCACATATGAGCTAAATCATAGACGCAAACAACCTTTGGCACTACCTAAGTCATACAACACGTCGTTCGCACATCACAGGGTCCCCTTACGCGTATTATCACATGTGATAAAGGTGCTCTCACGTTCTCCTAA